TTACTCATCGACCTTACTCCTTACTGAATGGTCAATCCGACGTTCCAAGACTCCTGACTCTGATGATAATCCAACTGGTTAACCTCCAAAATCTCTGTGCAACGTTCGAAGACGAACCTCTGATCTCGAATCACCCACTCCTCAATCAGATTGCTTCAAACGTTCGCATTTATACAGCGCCTCCTGCTAGCCCGCATCTACAACATTACGCGCGCTAGCCAATTAATTCTTCCTTCTCAATTTCGAGTTTCGCTCCGCCCACCGAGCAGTGTATAAAAAGGAGCGGATCCAACGCCGAGTGATCAGTTTACTTCAGTCTACGAGCTAGCCACACCAAGCAACACCAGCCAGCAGGCTTCGTCGCCAGCGCTCGGTCTACGGAGGCATCGTCGCTTCGCTGAGCCAGGCATGACTGCCACGGCTGTCTGCCGGTCGCACCCGACTCACTGGGCAACTAGGCCGCACAGACTCGCCGGTAGTCATACCCGACGCACTGGGCAACTGTCGTAGCTACCGCCTCACCGCTCCAGCGACCGTGCTCAACGACTAGCCTTTCACCAGCAGCCGCCGCGCTGCGATCAAGCAACCTCCAACTCACCTGCCGCATAGCAACCAAGCAACCTCCAGCCACGGCCGCAATACGGCCAGTCCATTCACCGTAACTAACCTCTCTCCCTACCGGCATGCGCTGCACTACCTCACCGGTCAAGCATCTCAGCAACCACTGTCCTTCTCAGGGCCAACAAACTGTTCCGAAGAAGTGGGTTGTCATCGGAGTAATGACAAAACTACATTAAGACCCCACAATATCATCATGGTTCATTACTTAATATTTTTTTATTTATCTTTGATTTATGCATCCTGTGTGTATCATAATTAATGGAAAAAGCTTTGGCCATTGACACAATATTTAATTAAACAAACCAAGGTAACTGTCAAGAATTGGTTTATTTCAGTGTACCTGAACAGAGGAAACACAAAACACCAGTACATTACATGATAATATATCCTAGAAGTCATATGGAAGAACTAGGAATACTGCACCAATATTTTTACATTTACATATCCTTGGGCACAATACTGTTCAACGTAGATGCATTTTGCATAACAACAAGATTTATAGAATTACAAGGACATGACTTCTTAATACTAAATTTTAACGTTTGACATATTTGAATGTACAACATTATTTTAATGTACATTAATTTTAACTTTAAGGCATATAAACAAGTGTAATATATGATTGTTATGCATTGCACCAGTATTGATCCATATAAGGTTTTCTATTCACCAGAGATTTATTTGTAGACCTTGTGGGATTGTCGTCAATACTCCAATAGACAAACCACACGAAACTGTACAATTGTATATATTGAATCGTTCAATGTCAATGCACAGAACACGGAATACACGTATAATGTTCAAGCGTTGGCTGGCCTGTCTGGGCGGTGATGCCGTGCTGAGCGTGCCGGTAGGACCGACTGGCTCGGTCGATTGCTGCGTAGCGGAAGATGCGTTCGCTGAAGGCTTGCGGCAGCTATGTCAGCTGCCCGGTAGCAGAAGTGGAGTTGATGCCTCTAACTGCGTTGCCGTTTCGAGTTGAACTGCTTGCACCTTGGGTTCCCGGTCTTAAATACAACCGGCCGGGAGGCGGAGCTAAAGTTGCAGTCGTCACGGCGCGCATCCATTGGGCCGTGCACGGAAAGGCGGAGTCACGGCGAAGTTTATAAATATATGTAGCTGGTATATAAGTCGCAGTAGTTGGAAATGGTATAAATTCCGTGTCTGTTTGGTCACAGCTACCAGTTTGGCACTTTCTGAAAGGGGTGACGGTTGTCTGCCAGACGCTGTGGGGATGCTCCCACATCACCCCCCCGCGGAGATGTCTGCTCAGCTGTTGAAGCGAGCAGGGAGACGGATTTGACGTCCACAGCGCGTAGCTTTTGCAGCGAGTTGTGGAGGTGTGGCGGGTGAGGCCGGTGTTGCTGTGGTTGTCGGGTTGAAAGTCGTGTGGGTCCCGTGGCTGGATTCGTTCAGCATGTAGGCAGGCTTGACCCGATCAGTTGACACAGTTACGGGCCTGTCGCGTACAAGAATTTGCATCGTCTTGTCCCTCCGCGTGAGAACCTGGTAGGGGCCGCGGTAGGGGGGCTCCAATGCCCTGCGGACTGCGTCCTGCCGGAGGAAGACGTGAGTGCAATTACCGAGGTCTCTGTGCACGAACGTAGCCGGGGAGGCGTGCCGTGATGCCGGAATCGGCCTGAGTCGAGCCATATGCTGCCGTAGTTCGGTGATTAACTGCGCTGGGTCCGCTGGTTCGGTGGTCGGTGTTAGCAGTTCGCCGGGCACTCTGAGGGGCTCACCGTACACGAGCTCAGCTACCGATGCTTGTAGGTCCTCCTTGAAAGCCGTGCGGATTCCGAGGAGAACCATGGGAAGCGCCTCAGTCCACTGTTGTTCCGCGTGGCACATGATAGCTGCCTTCAGCGTCCGGTGGAAGCGTTCCACGAGTCCGTTAGCTGCTGGGTGGTGGGCGGTTGTACGTGAAAGCTGGATGCCGCACAGCCTAGCCAGGGATGCGAAGAGTTGTGATTCGAACTGGCGTCCCTGGTCGGTGGTGATCGTCTGCGGGCAACCGAAGCGTGATATCCAGCCGGTCAGCAGGGCGCGTGCCACTGTGTCGGCTGTGATGTCCGGAATGGGGACGACTTCTGGCCAGCGGGTGAAACGGTCGACTGCAGTGAGGCAGTATGTGTAGCCCGCTGACGTCGGAAGGGGTCCCACAAGGTCGATATGGACGTGTAGAAAGCGAGCTGCCGGCGGTGTAAAGTCGCCCAGTGGAGTAACTGTGTGGCGGGAGACTTTGGAACGCTGGCAGGACTGGCAAGCTCGTGCCCAGGTGCGGCAATCCTTCTGTACGCCTGGCCACACGAATCGCTGTGCGACCAGCTTTGCTGTTGCTCTGGTGCCTGGGTGTGACAGATCGTGGACGGACCGGAATACTTGGAGTCGTAGAGGCGCTGGAACGTACGGCCGAGATCTCCCGGTAGATGTGTCGCAGTAGACGGAGAGTGCGGTACCGGGGATTGTTAGTTTCTCAAGCCGTAGGGCGGTGGTTGACCCCAGGAGTGCTCGAAGTTCGTCGTCGCTGTCCTGGGATGCGGCGAGTACGTCGTACGGTGGTGGCGCGGTGACGGACTCGACGCGGGAGAGGGCGTCGGCGACAACGTTGTCTTGTCCAGAAATGTGCCGGATGTCGGTTGTGAACTGGGAGACGAAGTCTAGATGGTTGAACTGACGGGGTGAGCATTTATCCCGCTTCTGCTGGAAGGCGTATGTGATGGGCTTGTGGTCAGTGAAGATGGTGAAGTGTCGGGCTTCCAGCATATGCCGGAAATGTTTGACAGCCTCGTAGATGGCCAGCAGCTCGCGGTCATAGGCGCTGTATTTTTGCTGGGCAGGGTTAAGTTTCTTTGAGAAAAAAGCGAGGGGCTGCCAGACGTTGTTGACTTGTTGCTGCAGCACGGCACCCATGGCGGACGTGGAGGCATCCGTGACGAGTGCGAGTGGAGCGGATGGGTCAGGGTGCGCGAGCAGAGTGGCGTGTGACAGGCTCGCCTTGCACTCTTCAAATGCCTTCAGGAGCTCCGGTGTCCAGGAGATGGGGTGGGAGCCCTTGACTCTAGGGCCGGAGAGAACGTCGTGCAGTAGTGCTTGGGTGGCAGCCGCGTGGGGTAGAAATCGCCGGTAGAAGTTGACCATGCCCAGGAAACGACGGAGCTGGCTGGCGGTCTTTGGTGGTTGGCAGTCCTGCAGATGAGTTACTCGCTCTGCCAGAGGTTGGGACCCCTCGGCGGACACCTTGTAGCCGAGGAAGGTGACCTCGGGTGCTCGGAAGACGCACTTCGCCGGGTTGATTATGATCCCGTGTTTCTGGAGTTGCTGGAAGAGTTCCCGCAGGTGAATCTCGTGCTCCTCTGGTGATCGGGAGAATACGAGGATATCGTCCAGGTACGCGAAGCAGAAGTCGAGTCCCCGCAGAATGTTGTCCATAAACCGTTGGAAGGTTTGGGCGGCATTGCGCAGGCCGAAGGACATGAAGGGAAACTCGAACAGGCCGAAAGGAGTGGTAATGGCTGTCTTCTGAATGTCGCCGGGATTGACGGGAATTTGGTTATAGGCTCGTACCAAGTCAATTTTGGAGAAAATGGTACAGCCATGGAGTTGGTGTGAATAGTCGTGGATGTGTGGGACTGGGTAGCGGTCAGGGATTGTCCGGGCGTTGAGCGCTCTATAGTCGCCGCAAGGACGCCAACCGTTGTCCTTTTTGGGAACGACGTGCAGTGCCGAAGACCAGGAGCTTTCAGAGCGGCGAGCTGTGCCATCTCGCAGCATAACGTCGAACTCTGACTTGGCGATGGCTAGCCGGTCTGGTGCTAGCCGTCGGGGTCGGCAGGTCACTGGCGGGCCTGGTATCGTCCGTATATGATGCACGGTGCTGTGGCGGACTTTGCGCTGGACCCCGGCTGGGCGGGTGAGGTCCGGGAATTCGGAGATGAGGCTGTCGACCGGTGTGCCGCCAGTGTTGGTCTTGACGCTCGAGATCTGCATGCTGGTGGCTTGAGCCCGTACGGATAACGTCGTGACCCTGTCCATGAGACGCTCGTTTCGGCAGTCCACCAACAGGCCAAAATGGGAGAGGAAGTCCACACCGATTATGGGATGCGTGACGTCGGCCACTATGAAACGCCACGTGAAATCCCGGCGGAGACCCAAGTTGAGGCTGAGAGGCAGCCATCCGTAGGTGTGGATGGTAGTGCCATTAGCAGCGGAGAGGTCGTAGTTCACCCTCTCCTTCCGTCGCGGGACAAGCCTGCGGGGGTATACGCACAGGTCGGAACCGGTGTCGACCAGGAACTGCCGCTTGCTGTACTTGTCGGTGATGAAGAGGCGGCCCGTTGTTAAAGAGCAGACGAGTGCCGCCGGTGGTGTCTGCTGCTTTAGTTTCCCTGCTGGTGGTAGTCACAGGGTGAGGTACACCTTTGTGCCCGGGCCCCGAATCGACGATGGTACCAGCAGAGGGTGGATGCGGGGTCGTCTCGGGAAGGGGATCGGTTGTGTGTGTGGTAGTTCCTGGTAACTGGGTGGGAGAACCTGGTTCTGTAGCGGGGGTCTCTGGGGTTGGGAGGATGCTCTTTGGAGTTGGGCGGAGGGTCTCTGGGGCTGTTGCGGGGGCGGTTCTGCTCGGCCCGGAGTGCTGCCACCTGTCGGGAGAGGTCCTCTATTTCTTCCCTGAGTGCGGCGTTGGGCGATGGCCCCACGCTAGCGAGCGCCGGTTGTGGTGCAGCCTCAGTGATGCGGTCTGCGCAGCGGGCGGCGGCTTCCAAACTGCAATCATTTTGGCCGGCGAGTATGGTCCTTATGTGGGGAGGCAGCCGACTGGACCAGATGGTGCGCAGGATATACTCGGGCATGTCGGGGGCGAGGGTTCTGAGATGCCTCAAGAACTGCGACGGTTTACGGTCACCCATCTCCTCGACCGTGATGAGTTGGTGGATGCGTTGCTCCTTCGAGGGGGTCAGCCGCCCCACGAGCTCGGCCCTGAGCGTGGCGTAGGAATTATGTTCGGGCGGTGCGGTGATGATGTCCGCGACGCTTGCCGCATAACGTTGGTCCAGCTGCGAGATTGTGTAATAAAATTTCGTTTGTTCGTCTCTGATGTTGGCCAATGAAAACTGTGCCTCAGCTTGGGCGAACCATACGGCAGGCTGCTCGGCCCAGAACGGCGGGAGTCGCACAGTCACTCTCGGGGCCTCGGTTGTTGTCGTGCTGTCAACGGTCGCCATACTTTATCGGGGTCACCAATGTGGGATTGTCGTCAATACTCCAATAGACAAACCACACGAAACTGTACAATTGTATATATTGAATCGTTCAATGTCAATGCACAGAACACGGAATACACGTATAATGTTCAAGCGTTGGCTGGCCTGTCTGGGCGGTGATGCCGTGCTGAGCGTGCCGGTAGGACCGACTGGCTCGGTCGATTGCTGCGTAGCGGAAGATGCGTTCGCTGAAGGCTTGCGGCAGCTATGTCAGCTGCCCGGTAGCAGAAGTGGAGTTGATGCCTCTAACTGCGTTGCCGTTTCGAGTTGAACTGCTTGCACCTTGGGTTCCCGGTCTTAAATACAACCGGCCGGGAGGCGGAGCTAAAGTTGCAGTCGTCACGGCGCGCATCCATTGGGCCGTGCACGGAAAGGCGGAGTCACGGCGAAGTTTATAAATATATGTAGCTGGTATATAAGTCGCAGTAGTTGGAAATGGTATAAATTCCGTGTCTGTTTGGTCACAGCTACCAGTTTGGCACTTTCTGAAAGGGGTGACGGTTGTCTGCCAGACGCTGTGGGGATGCTCCCACAACCTACCTGATGATGGTTCCACAAAGACCGGAACATGTAGCCGCCACTGAAATAAACTAATTGTTGAGAGTTAACTTGGTTTATTTAATTAAATATTCTTGTGTCAATGGCCAAACCTTTTTCTGTTAATTTTTTGATTTGTTAAACCCAATTTAATATTTCATTTCATTTATTCACCATCCATAAATCCTGCTGAGAGTACATTCTCATGCGGATGTGGAGATCGTCCTAGTTACAGTCACAACTAAAGATTACAGTTGTCATCCAATAGCATACACCTTTGTATAAAATACCGATAAATGTATACATTATAATAAATAAGTTAATTTTAGTAGTAAAAGTAATGGCAAACCTTACACAATTTGTACAGTTTTGTAAAATTATATTATGTAATTAAAAATTCAATAGTTAAGACACAATTTCATTAATGAGTTTTGTATAACATACATTAATTATATAATAAATTGAAATAAGGACTAGTATACAGTAATATAAAGATTGTGTATATCTAAAATAAGCATCTAAAAGCCAGAACACAGACCGACAATCTTGTCTTCTTTTAATTGTAAAGCAAGACAACTACTTGCATCTTAAAAAGGTTTATAATCAAAATATTCCTGTAAAGAATAAAAAGAATGTAAATATAAAAATTGTTTTAATTATACCTCAAAACTCTTAGTGTCANGTAGTAAAAGTAATGGCAAACCTTACACAATTTGTACAGTTTTATAAAAGTATATTATGTAATTAAAAATTCAATAGTTAAGACACAATTTCATTAATGAGTTTTGTATAACATACATTAATTATATAATAAATTGAAATAAGGACTAGTATACAGTAATATAAAGATTGTGTATATCTAAAATAAGCATCTAAAAGCCAGAACACAGACCGACAATCTTGTCTTCTTTTAATTGTAAAGCAAGACAACTACTTGCATCTTAAAAAGGTTTATAATCAAAATATTCCTGTAAAGAATAAAAAGAATGTAAATATAAAAATTGTTTTAATTATACCTCAAAACTCTTAGTGTCACTTGATATATCTTTAATATATCGTGGTAGATTATTATAGACCTTTGTTCCTAAACAGTAAACTTCCTTTTGGTATTTACTCTAATTTACAAGAGGCTGATGGAGATTATTTTGCTGTCTGGAATTTATTCTATGAATCTCTGAATTTACTATTAATTTGTTTCTGTTTTTTATCACAAAGAGCATAAGAGATAGTATGTACTGAGATGCCAGAGGTAAGATTTCTAATTCTCTAAATAAGTTCCTGCACGAATCCCTCCTTCTGCGTCCCAACATAATTCTGATTATATTCTTTCGCATTCTAAAAATTTTTATCCTTTGGGGTGAGTTAGCCCAAAAGAGTAAACCATAATTTATAATAGAATTAAAACAAGAGTGATAAACATTTTTAAGGTATTTATGGATGTGTATGGTTTTAAGCGATCTTATTATGTAGCAGACTGCACTTAGTTTAAAACTAATATACTCAGTGTGGTATTTCCAGCTCATGATGTCATCAATGAATATTCCATGAAATTTAATATTGGATATAGATGTAATTTGTTTTTTTTATCATATACAATTTTTATTTCAGATTTAGGATTATCATTTCTAGCTGTAAATTGACTAGTGGGTTTTGTTAAAATTTATAGAAAGTTGGTTTACTTTGAACCATTCATTTATACTACAAAAAGCATTGTTTATATTTATACAGAGATCTTCATAGTTTGAACTTTTAACTAACAAACTAGTGTTGTCTGCAAATAATATAGGTACAGTTTTATCGTTTATAGTTTTGGGTAAATCATTTATACAAATGAGAAATAACAATGGACCCAGAATCGAACTTTGTGGGACACCATGTCTAATTTTGCCCCATGTCGAGAATTCATTGAGATTAAGATTTATATTTGTAATTAAAACTCTTTGATATCTATTTCGGAAATAAGATTCAAGCCATAGTTTAGCTTTACCCTTTATCCCATAGAATCCCAATTTTGGCAACAGAACCTCACGATTAACACAAAGCCTTTTCTAAGTCACAAAAATGCCTCCTATTAAGTTTTTGCTGTTAAAGGTCTTACAGATTTCATTCACTAACTTGTATATAGCCTCATCTGTTGAAGATTTTGTTCTAAAATCAAATTGTTTTTCCACTAAAATGTTATTGTTATTTAAGTGCCCAATCAATTGAATCCTCATAGCTTTTTCTAATACCTTAGAGAACGAAGTTAAAAGTGATATAGGCCTATAGTTGGAAATATTTGATTTATCACCTTTTTTAAACAGCAGTCTTATTTCTGAGTATTTTAAACGATCTGGGAAAATTCCTTGTGATAATGAATTGTTGCATATGCAAGTCAAAGGAACTCATTCTTAATACTTTAGTGGACATTTCATCATATCCACAAGAGTTATTTGCTTTGAGAGATTTAATTATATTTTTAACTTCCTTAGTTGATAAAGATTTAAGTTTAATATGTGGAAAGGGATTTATAAAAGTTTTCATTAAATACTGAACGGGAGTAGTGTCTGGAAGGTAACTAATACGAGTATTAGTATTATTTTGTTCATTTTTTGAATTTTTATTTTCAGCTACAGATAAAAAGTAACTGTTAAAGGTTTCTGCAATTAATTGCTTTTCTATATTGTATTTTCCATCCACCTTTAAGGTGCATATTTTTTCATTATTTGGCCCCTTACTAGTTTCTAATTTTACTATATCCCATATGGTTTTATTTTTATTTTCGGAATTTTGTTAACATATTTTAGTTTTTTAGCTTCTTTAATGACCTTAGATAAAATTTTACAGTATTTTTTATAATAGTTTCTTAATTCTATTTATTACTCTTTCTACATGCCATATAGAGTATTCTTTTACGTTTACACGATGTTATTATTCCTACAATAATCCAATCACTTATTTTATTTGAATTTTTAATTTTTTTTTGAATACTGGAATAGTAAATTTTCAAGTAAGTGTCTAAAAAGGGGTTAAACATTATATTAACATCATTACTAGAAAAAATTAAGTCTCATGTTTCACAACTTAGTTTAAAAAGCCATTTATTGTGTGTTTATTTTCAATAGCCCGGACCGATTCTGTAAAAGACCTGGGAGTGTTTATTGATGCTAAGCTATATTTCCATGACCAGGTCAATTACATTTTCTCTCAATGTGCGAAACTATTGGGTCTAGTTCGTAACATTACCTACAATTTCTCTTCGCTAGACTGTATGTTCAGTTTGTACACTACGTTAGTTAGGTCTAA